CTTACCTTGTCTTTTTGAAGATCTTTATTTCCTTCCTTCTTTTTAATTAAGTCTCGTTCTCTTGCCTCATTTTTAGATACAATGCACTCACTTATTTCAGCACCGCTGCTGTTATGCTCYTTTTTAATTTTCTTTGGTTCCTTTACTGACTTTCTTGAAATATCTTTACTTGCATCTTCCTTAACTTCCTTTCCAGGATTTTCCTTATTCATTTAAATGCTACGTTAAACACTTTTTGTCGCTCTATTATGCTGTCAGTTTGTATTTATTACGGTAAAAGCAAACAAACCCGACATAATAATGACTACATTTGTCGCCAACAAATCTCAARTCCTGACTTTAACAGCGGCAGTACACGTGTTGAAATATCACTAAAGCAAGATCAAAAAMACACCGGCAATTCACACTTCAATAGATAACAATGGAAGTAATTAAAGCACTAAAACTTGATGCTAAACAACAAACAAAACCATCAAAAGTATTGTAGATTTAAGGATGTATCACAAGTCTTTGTTTTCTACGCTGATTGTACAGGTTAAAACTCCTATTTTTTTTGAAACTTTAGTGCTTCTAAGCATATATCACGAAGATTGATCTCCCTCTGTCTCGTCTCGAACTTAACTCTACCTCTCTTTCTTGATTTTTTTAGCTATCAAGTGTAAATTAATAGCGATGCACTTCCTTCTGCAATGATTGATTTTCAAAATATTTTAATAACAAGTTTCAAAGTGATAACTCGCAGCACTCCAATTATTCAAAAAGCGATGCGAGGAGCCTGTTTATTTAAAGACGAAATGTACCCTGTAGGAAGTACCCTAGAAAAATGGTTGTCAAGCATGAAAAATAGAAATAAAAACTTCAGGCATTTTGTAAATGTATATGATAATTTAGGGATGATTGACGTAAAACTGAGTGACCAATCAACTTGTGGTATCGTTAGAAAACATAAATCTTATAAAACAAGATGCCGTCACTGACAACTCATTCAAGTCTTTTGTCAAGTCCTCACAAAAAGTCAGAAACGTGCTCTTATAATCATTACTTCATTGGATTTTGTGCGAAATCTCGCAACTCTYTCATAGAAATAATCATTGAAATGAGATGATGACTAATATGTCTTTTTTTCAGCTGTTTGAGACCAATTTATGATTTGGTTTCAGTAGAAAATCCTAAGTTTAGACACTTTTGAATAATGAGAAGAGGGACAAAAATGGAAAGAAAGAAAAAAAACATAATTATTCACTTTGCGAATAATTCTTTTTTTTTTTGAAAGCAGCTACATTTCTTACAGGATGATGACTGCCTTATTAGTTTCGGCATTTTRCTTTGTAGACATGCTGGGACCCGGAATTCTCTTGTAAATGAAACTAGCAAACACAATGAACAGTTCTTGAAAAACACCCCATGTTTTTTGTCGGTTGGTCTTTTCTAATCAATATAAACCTGAAGGCTGATCAAAATTTCGCTTTCGGAAGTCATAAATCTATATTTGTAATATTTAACTTTTAGGTAGACATCCCTCCTTGCAACGGCTTTGGAACCGCCGGCGAACCAAACGAATCACGATGAACCAAGAGCGTAAAACAATAAAGCACAAAAAAAATAAACAAAGCCAAACAACAACAACAACAACAACAACAACAACAACAATAACAACAATAACAAAGGAACGAAAGAAAAACTAGAAAGGAAACGCAGAAGCAAAATCAAAAAAATATCCTTGAAAAAATCATTTAATCATTCGACCAATAGATAAATCCATCTATTTGAATTTATTAATTAATCAAGGCAAAAAGAAGCAAGAATTAAAGCTACAAAAAAAAAAAAAAATAATAATAATCGATTAAAAAAATAATTTTAAACCTTGAATGAAGCTTAAAAAGTGCAATTTTAAAACAGATGAATAAATCTTACAAAACAAATGAGGCAGTATGGGAATAGATAAATGGATGACAATCTGCGGACAATGATGGATGGGTGAAACCGAGAAGGAAAATGTATTAATGTTTCGATAAATAGAAGGTGGAATGGATGAATGGGTAACGTAGGAATGATTAAAAATAAGTAGAAAGACGAGAATATTTAAATGAGAGATAAAAAGAAATATAGAGAGGATATTACATGGGCGCGCGGCGATACGGATTTTATCTTCGGCTGTGGAAAAGATCTCTCACAAGTGAGCGTAGCGAAAAAATTCGTATCTCCAAGCGACCATGTAATATTCTGTTTATCATATAATTATCAATGAAAACAAATTATGTCGTAAAATACCTTTTAACCTATTTCCACTATTAAGAGAAACCTCGAATGTGTTATTTTCACTAGAGAAAATATCAACTTTACGCAATAGAGAAATATAGGTATTTTATAGATAATTATATGATAAATATATAAGAATTAGACGAGGAAAAAAATTCTAATAATAGAATAAAATCGACAAAAATAATAATACAGATAAAATGATTAAAAAAAAACGAAATATATGTAACGTGCGCGGGACGAGCTCGATGAAATATCGCGTTGTGATTTTGTGGGGGGTAAAGGCCTCAAAACGGAAAAAAAAATAAAATAAAATAAATTGTTTTACATATTGATTTTGCATTCTGTGTGGCTGGTTTACTGGGGATCCAAATTCACATAATAGGGAAATAAAATTGCTAGAAAGCACTATTTTTGGAAATGATTAAATTTTGACAAGGACAAACAAAATTTTACTAGCCACATAAAAAGATAACGAGTTTGCTGTTATGATGACTTGTTACTTGATGCTGCATTTCCTCATTTTTCAGCTGACATTTAAGAATGTGTTCATAAAATAAACTAAAGCTATCATTCTCACTAAATTCTGATAAATTCCCAATGGATATTTATGACTCACTGTAAATTAAAATTCAGGTCATCATTCATGCACAGTACAACATTCTCTTGGTTTCATATTCGACAAGGTAGTATCCCAGACGGCTTTGGTACCGGATAGTCCATGTGGCCATACTAATTGGTGATAAATCACTTTCGTCAAAACAGAATTAAACAAAACAGTAATTATTCAATACGCGAATTTTCGCAATAGACTTCTCAACCTCCTTGAAAAAAATGCACGCGATCACAACTTTTGCTAAAMTGACCGCTCAAAATCAAACGACAGAAAAAAATAGATCAGAACTAAAGAAAACTAGCAAACCGCCCCAGTAAGTACTGTGTGAATATACGAGTTCAAATTTACCAGCCTTTTATAAAGCTTTCTATAATCACAACGGTGTATAGTTGGAGATTTTACTGTCTGTATGTATCATTGAATAAAGGTGTGCAATAAAGTTAATATCCGATATGCAAAAAAAAAGAGTTTGAACAGTGAGTAGAAATGTTTCCGACATTTAGTGCATGTATAATTAAATGGTTAATTTTTTTCCGTTCATCGGATGGAAATTGATAATTGAAAGAATACCTTTTATAAATATATTCAATAATAACTTTACTTTGAAGCTTTTCAAAGACTCTTTGCTCATTTAGAAAAAAAAATGACTGGTCCCTATAGAAGAGTGATATCGATATGTTAGAGTTAAACGACGCCTGCCTCGATGTGGGCTGTGCAATGATATATATAAATACTCACATGCCTTGAAAAGTCAGTTCAGATTSAAAATGTYATAGAAAACTTATTCAAAAATAGAAAACTTGTAAATTCCTACCGGGAAAACGATTCTTCCAATCCTCTCCKTTGAATTTCGCCCAGAAAAACGGCAGAGCGTCTATTCTCTACAGTATGATATCAAATAAGTCGAACTGGATTCCCGACGTCGCTTTAATAGCCCCGCAAATGTTATACCCTCACGCGTCGAAGAAATCAGTTCACCCGTGGTGAGTAAACGACCAAGCTGGCGTGATACCAGCACTTTTATTCTAAGTTATTAAAAATGTGAAAATTTGGTGTTAAGCATAGTAATTAGAGACTATTGAAATKACTAAAAAATAATTAGAATCAAACAAAAACTCCTTTGAATAATTGATAACAAATAAGCCAGGAACTAATAATCTGCCTATTAAGGAAACCAGTGGTCTTACCACAATAACTAATCTCAGAAAATCACCATCATATAAGCCWGAAAAGACAAGATTAAGAAACAAATTAKAGGAGAGCTGCCGGCTACMTTGGCCATGATCGGCTCATTGCTAAATGTTACACGTGATTCTGGTTGTTTTTAAGTTTAGATTACCACAACAAAAACCGCGAAAAAGTAAATATGAACAAAAGAAACAACATCTGATATGAAATTGAAATGCAAACAGTCCAACTGCATGCAGTATGAATAATCATTACCAATGTTCTGTCACTCAAAAGACTTGAACAGTTGATATTCTTTTTGTTAATAACTTTCCTAAAGTTACCATTTTTTTCCTGGCGAAAACGAGTTTCGATTCTCAGATTGCAGACTCCTTAGGTCGTGCAAGAGTTAATAAAGTCATAATTACAGTTTGCAACTCAAAGGGAAAAAAAGGATTAGAAATGGAAAAAAAATCCAAAATAAAGAATTACTAAAAGTGTCTATTTTAAGATTAATTCTTCATCAAAATCCATTAAACAAGTTATAACAATATCATTTAATGGCTACAATAGCGATAATGATGACTAATGACGATGATTATAATGCTTATAATAGTTCTTAAATAGCAACCTTATATCAGAGCATCTCAAAGAAACGCATAATGCATAAAGAACATTTTTGGGAATAGTTCGTTAACTCATAAATTATTCTGCGTGCATGGCAGTATTATTTAAAGACTCTATTTCGACTCGATGTAAATGATAAGAAATCTGCTTGGTTTGAAGACCGGTCTCTTCGCCGGACTTCTATTCACTTGATTAGTCCAAACTACGTAGTATACTCATGGGATTTCATCATACTTTCGTCTCAAGAACAAATGCTACAAGGGGGGAATGAGAGGGGAGGGAGGGAAGGGAGCAAGGGGGTAGGGGAAAAGGGGGGACATTGAAACATCCTTACCTTTTCGTATAAGATTGCGTGATTCAAGCTCCTCTATACATCCCATAAAAGGGCACCATTGACTAGGGTTCTGTGTTGAAATGCATCGTGGTGCAATTAATGCCAAAAACAACCGTCCACAACATCACTTTTAATGCTGTCCTGTCACAGTTTAATTGATTTTTGTCTACGGTTGTAGCTACCCTACCTCACTGGTTATAAAGCGTAGCCTTAMGTCACAGCTCGCTGAGACTKCAGGGAATGCGTTGGCAGTAAGAGTTATTATGGTTTCCGATTGAGGTAGACCCCACAGATTACTCGAATTCGCTAAGTGAAATTAAAAACCTACCGTTGATCCCCATGTGCATAACGTTAAGAAGCCTTAAAAAAAACTAACACTTATGGCCATGCTAAATTGACTTGTGGTCTTTTGAATAATAGAAAAATCCTGACGACTGCTTTTGGCTATTTTAATAGAAAAAYACTTAATAAGACACTTTTAATAATATACCTCTAGTCCGGGACGAAATATCTTTCTTTAATTAATCAAAATTTTTCACACGTTTGTTTCATTTATTCAAGTTTTATTTAAGTAGTCAAACTTTTTTACTCAATAATTGTAAGCTTGTGCAACCGAAAGTTACACTGGCACCTTTCATCATCAGAGACTGAGTACCTTCGAATTTATGACTTTGATTTTTTGTGTGTGTTAGAATAGAGTACTCACGTGATGACGTCACAAAACAAAAATGTTTGAGTTTTCAAATTTGCCCTCCATATTCTGAAAGTACATCATTTTTAATGAATCTCTGCTAAATATGAGTGTCTTAGTGCCATTTATAGCGGAGATACAAGCGATTGTGACCACATACAAACGCTTGTAAATTTGGTCCTTGTTCCTTTCGTTTTGAACAAGACCAAATTTACAAGAGTTTGCATGTGGTCCCCGACCATAAAATCGCTTGCATCTCCGCTATAAATGGCACTAGGGCACTGAAATTTTGTAGATAGCTATTTTTTTTCATGCGCTTTAAGGATATTTCAACAAATCCGAAAATTCACAAAAAAGTCTTTTTGTGACTTTACACTTGAGTACTCTATAGGATGCATTTTATTAATAACATAAATACTGWCTGACCGAATGCATTAAGTGTAACGCACAGACTCAGTCGTCGACTCACTGTTTTAAATGCAATAGATATTGGAATAGCTGATTCAGTTATGTAAACCCACACGATACTGACCGACTTTATTTTTCATCGTGTGAGATTTTTGAGACCAATGGAAATGTTATTAAAAACAGCTGTTTGGAACTCTTAGTGACTATAGACTAATCGGAAAACATTCAAAATAACACAACTCAAAGTTTGGCCCCTGCAGTTTCAAAGCACTCAAAACTAAGTGTGATTCAAACAATTAATTTTAACACAAGTAAAAATCTGAATTTATAATAATCACATACACACTCTCTTCAGTTAAACTATTTTTCATGAGTTTGTCATTGAAGAGTAGCTTGCAAGTGAGAATTAGCAGTTATATTAATCGTAGAAAAAAATGCGGTAATAAATTCACATTGGTTGAAACAGCGGCTCTTATAGTCTGTACATAAAACCTAATCCAGACGGCATGAATACGGCACCAAATTCCCTATTTCTGGACAGTTTAACATGTTCAAAAAATACTTTCTTTTGAGTTGACCCTCCATAAACGGACACTTATTATATAACAATAACAATAACAATAACAATAACAATAACAATAACAATAACAATAACAATAACAATAACAATAACAATAACAATAACAATAACAATAACAATAACGAAAACCATCTTTTATTTTCTTATAAAATACAATTGCGAATCTCGCTACATGTAGGTAATTCACAAAAGCATACTTGAATCTAACAAGATTAAATATATATAATATATATATATAAATGATTACATGCATGAAGGTATATATAATATATTACTGACATCATTAATTTTCAAAAATTAGTATTTTATAAAGTCTGGACTTTCCCAATCCTTGTTCCTTCGGCAAAAAATGAAATAAGTGGATCGAATGGCTATTTTAATTATTGTTTTGATTATATATTGCTTGAAATTGTTTTCATAACCTAAATCATCTAGCATAGTGATAAAGTTTTCAGATTCTTTAGCAAATACTCCAAGAGCACTGATTGATAGATTAACAAAAATTACTTCCTTGAACTTGCTAGATAGTATTTTTACAATTTCTTTGTATTTGTCTTTTTTACGAGCAGCATTCACACTTAAATTTGATTCAAAACCAACTGTCAGTTCCAAAATGAACAAGGTGTTATTAGTTGAGGACAGCAACAAATCAGGCCGAAGTTCATCACCAGTTAAAACGGAAGGGCTCTTAAAACCAGGTAGATCAGCGTAGAGGGTAGAACCATGTGCAATTTGAAGTGTATTAGCCAGGAAATGAAGGATTGAGTCATGTCTCCAGGTAAAACGGCCATCATTAAGATATGATTTACACCCAGAGACAACATGCAGCAGAGATTCAGATAACAATAACAATAACAATAACAATAACAATAACAATAACAATAACAATAACAATAACAATAACAATAACAATAACAATAACAATAACAATAATGAGGCTAATATCCTGATCAACCTTGATGTACTCCTACTAAAATGTGAGACTCGTGCCCAAACGCACTTACACAAACATCGACTAAACCTCTAAAAACCGTGAACAGTGTAAAAATTGTCTGAAAAATTTTTGGCAAAAAGGCACTAAAACCTACCAGAGTCAGCGTATATCTTGCTGCAAGTCCTGTAGCAAAAAAAAAAACACAATAACTTGTTGTAGAGGATTATGTGAGTTTTCTACAAACAATTCAGAATTCAGACAACTACATCTCTCCAACGCTCRTTGTCGTCAATCTCATTATCCGTGTTATCTAGCATTATCAATTAATCCTCTCAAATCGTTGATTTTGATAGCCAATAAGACAACTAGTCTGAAAGCAAAGCTCTAACAACCATAAGYCATACTGATTCCATATGGTATGAATGAGTTTCGATAGTCGCTTTCGATCATTGAGACGCCAATCTAACATATCAAACGTTTTTTAGAGGTAATTAACCCTTGTCCGACAGTTAATCCTAGCGTTCTAAGATATAGAAAATGCTATGAATAGAGTACCTTATCCGATGTCTGAATATTGATTCAGAGCACTAGAGATAGAGATTGGATTGGTAATTTGGAGGATGCTAAAAACCTTATCAAAATCACTGTAGCTTATAAATAGATTGACTGAGAATAATCAGAAAGGCRCTTTACATAACACCAATTCTTAATAATAATAAATGAATAAATATAGTTTGAAAATCTTTGATGACCAGATGCAATTTACGACTTAGGGGCGACCCATAATTAGAATTTTGAAGGGGGAACCGATTGTAACTTTTTTTTTTCAAAATCTCCCCCTCCCCCTCAAAATTCTAATGGATCTCCCCTTATTTTATTGTGTTCAAATTCCATAAATGGAATTAACTAAGGATAGATGAGATCCAAATATTTCACGTTACCTCAATTGATGGTATGTAACAGATGCTTTCTGAAATGTACTTCAAGTCCTTTTAAAATTAATGTTGAGCAATGCCAACATTGAAGAACGAAAAAACTGGTGAAAGAGACTAAAATATTTCGATTTTCGGTAAGAGTTTGGAATTTCTATAGCTATTTCAARTGAGCTTTGAAAGTTGGGAGAATGCACGACCGCCAGTAATTGTGGGAATAAATTTGTTATGGTTTAGAGATGTTTTCTCAGCAAATACAGTCACCATGACAACGAAGTCATTATTGATTGTTTTTGCTTCCAACTTGCTATTATAATGAATAAAAGCAATCCTATCATCCATACATTATATTCTGTAAAAGAATACTTATCTATTTCATATGTTCYTTGGTGCTGCATTATATGCAGCTTGTCATCATGGCTTAAATGGCATAATGAAAAAGAAAAGTCGTTTGTCTGTCAATAATGGCGGAGYAGTCAAAAATCTCAAGCYTKGAACAAAACAGCTCAATTTATTTTCATRAAAAAGGTTATTCAGAATCAAATGACGTACATTGATATTTTTTGATGSTGCGCAAATCCGTGAAACCGTTGCAACTATTGTAATATAGTCAAAAGGTTGTTTAATGTTGTTTATTATATAGATGATTTCTAACGCGCGCTATGATTTGCCAAAAAAGTGTGGTTTATGACAAGTACAAACCACGATTGTGGTCAAAAAAGATTTTTGCTCAAAATCTATATAATAAAACAAGTATTAGAGTTTAAACCACGTCTAAGCCTTATTTATTTGTTAAAAATAGCGAAAACAAAAATGTACGCTTTAAACAAGAGCAACGCTGTTAAGTAAACTAAAAAATACTACTTAAAACACTATAGATTGACCGATATTCCTAAATCAGTAGAATAAATTAAAATAAATTTCTTTCATAATATTGAAATGCCTSATAAGTAAACAATACAAGTCCTAATTTGCACTTAAAATAATTAATTGATCTAAAAAAATAAACAAGGCTTTTTCCTCATCTTTTTCTGTCATTTAGATGTTTACCAGAAGCTTAAAATGGCACACTGATGAGAACTTCTAGGATAGTATCTATTTATCAACTTTTCTTTCTTGAAAAAAATAGTTAGATTTTTTCTGCTTTTTAAATTTTCGTCTGACAACGATAAAAAGGAATGTATATGTAAGATAAAAACAATAGGACTAGATAGCAGCGAATCAGACCATTGCCGTAAATATTGAGCTTTGAGATACCGGGAATGAAAGAAATATTCAAAGTCAAAATGAGAACTCGACTTGAGTCGAGAGTCGACTCGTTTGTTATCCCAGAATTTCGGAAGACAAATTGTACGGGTACTGTCAGTCAATGCAATGAGTACTTTGTTTGCTTTGTGGTTATCACATATTCAAGTTCTTCACTGAATGGAGACAATAAGTGAGATGTTGAGGTATGAAACGGTTGTAACATGTCTGRTAATCATGAAAAGAAACCAATGATTGTATCATCATATTTTGAAATAAAAACTAGTAGGGTTCCAAAATTAAATGGCAAAAGGTAGCAAAGAGGAAGCTAATGTTACGAGTATAACTACAGTGTCTTAGTGCCATAATATGTCTGTACTGAGTAAAATGACCTTCTTTACGAGTCGGATATTACAATTAGATAATTATGATTCGAATTTCTGAGTAGTTATAATTACCTTTGCTGTTACTTCGACGATATCCTCTTTTTGCGACCCGACAGCGCTTTTTTTTTCGATTAGACAGAATCTAAAGCTTTGGCTAGTTTAAGCATAGTTAATTATGGTTTAAGTAATTTAACAGCTGTGTTGTCTATACTATGATTGTAATGTATACACTATATGAAAATAGTAAGACGCGATCGTGTTCTATTCTATTGTTTGTAAATTTGCTTGGCTTTACCCCGAGGCTTTWCCCCAAGGCGTTCGTGAGTTTTCATAAAAAAWTTCAACAAATTTTAATATCTTACTGGCACAGCTGAAAATAGTCCCRCGAAATGTCAAATTGTTTTCTCCATTCATTTTTGCACGTCCATTGTATTCAAATTCATCTTTAGAAATAGTAAATGACAATTCACACGCATTATTATAACGCTAGCTGAATCTCTACTACAGTTTGATGGCACTTCGATTTTACCTTAAGGGTGAATGACTGCGGCTTCCAGAAATTAGTCGCTCCGCTCGTTGGTCCACTTGAATTTTGAACAATTTATGACGTCAAGAGTGTGTCAATAAGAGAACATACAACTCAAAACCGTGCGCAATTTGTTAATTATCATATATTAGTTCAGTAGTGTTTAATTTTAATTTACGATGGAATATTTTGAAAAACCACATGAAAATTATGACAATTCGAAAGTGTCCCGTTTYAAAAGTTCWGAAGAAAACTACTWAATTGTTCAATTCCGCTTCTCACAAAGAAATKGATTTTTCATACTGCACAACTTATCAAGCCATGTCCCATTTTTATTAACAGCAACGCACTTCCGTCCAGAGACTGATAGTTCGGGCATTTCTCTWAGGAAAGGYATGAACTGACCAACAGRAGTACCGTCAGACCARMTCAATTGACCGGTGTTTTCTTGATCGTTCAGACCAATCCACGAACCGTGYTCATTCCAAACTAAGGAATCACGAGACGATAAATCAATCATATTTTCTAATTTAAAAACTCAAGTCAAATATAGTAGCGCATAATAGCAGGAATTGCCATGACCGACGAGATACTGGAGGCGGAGAAAGGAAGGTTTTTTTTCAATTTTCTAGTGAATATGTAAACTGATTATATTTCAGTAGGTTTCCATGCAATTGTGAAACGTTATAAACAGGAGCCCAATAAATCTTTTTTCARTRAATACTTACATGTAATTGTTTGAATCTCATTGATATCCAACGCTTTTTGAATGACTAAAATTCTCTTGATGTATCCATAGAAATTTTTGTTAGYTCCCAAAGCAAGCTTCATCTTGTTTGTGACTGAGGGATGTATGCTGCTTTTCCAAGTACGATAATTTGTCGCATCCATGACGAAATACCGAATACCAGTAATATTATTTACACTGAGAGCAACATGGTGCCAGACATCAAAATCCATATTTCTTTAAACAATAAGAAGTTATAAATAAATTCCTAAAAAATCATGAATGTTTAATGACAGTAAAACTCTCTCTGCTACTTGTTTTTCATATATTAAAAAAAATAACAATAACAAAAATTCTAAGATTGGTCCAATTATAGAAATATAAAACAATTCGCCGTCCAGAAATATATCAAATTCACTCTAAATGACTACCAAAATTCTTTTTAATACCATCGAAGCGGTCCTTAAAAAGGGGACTGCGCAATGCGTTGCGTTTTATTATTATTTATAAAMTTTTCGATATATAACGCGCGCTATGATTGGATGACGACCGTGTTTATATCAGAGGACAGAGACACGGCTTACCGGCAAAATTTTCTTTTCGCTCGAAAAATTTTATAAAAGAAATATAAAACGGCCGCTTGTGTCTCTGTCCTTTGATGTAAACACGGTGGGAGTTGAAAAACACTCGATAAGCAAGAGAAACACTCGCTACGCTCGTGTTCCTAAGCTTGCTTTTCTCGTGTTTTTCGAACTCCTACCGTGTTTATATCAGAGGACAGAGAAACGCCCGCCGTTTTATATTTCTTGAATTTAAATTGTATCTCGCAGTACGTATAATGACAAGAAATGATCTGATTAATTCGAGATGTTATGCAGAGTATTGTTCACTTAATACCTCAATTCACGATTAAATCCTTCGCCCAGGTCTAAAGTAAACAGGTTCCTTCCCGTCTTGTAATAAAGGAATCCAATCATAGATGACTGTTGGTTAAAAAGTTTCATAGGAAGAACCCAAACACCATCTGTGGCATGGGTGAGGGGCTTTATCCAAAAAGYAATGGTAAACCCGTCTGGACTGATATCGACTTCAGGAATTTCTGCATATCCATCGGCTTTACCACTAAAATACAAAGCAGTCTCTCCATCTACGGCTTTGTACAACACATCGCCAGCTGTTCCTTTTAGTCTGAAATGCAGAAAAACAATACAAACATTTTAGAAGATTAAGGTATCAGGAGGGGCTCGTTTCAGACATATTTTCAAAAAAAATTGTCTTTAGTACGAAAGAATATAATATCAACTTTAATATTAGTTTTTAAAAACTTTAAAAAAGTTGATTTCGATCTTTTAAACGCGATTAATTAATGAAAATAAAGATCGTAACCAAAACAATAATCCAGTTTCGAATTCTCCAATGCTCTGTGTTAGCCTCATTTGTGCGCAAAATATTCCTAATTGTGAGAATAAAAGTGTGAGATTTCAAATGAATTCCATTGTTTTTCTTTTCAAATTCCATGCGTTTTCTCGGGCTATCAATGAAACAAAAGAATAGGTTGCTTGGTTTCGAGGCTAACACAGAGCAAACCAGAACTCGAAATCGGAGTATTCCAGGAACCGATTCTCATCACTTAATTAGGCAATCTGTCATCAGCACAAGGTTGCCTAGGAACCTTGCTGAATTAAGTATCAAAACAACATTCGTAATGTGGATATATTTATAAATTTCGATTTTTTTAATAGTATATAGTCAATAGCTTATAGTTTAATTCTAAATAGTTATTCAGATGCCGTCTCGCGGAAGCGAAATTCGCTTTTTACTTCGGCGACAAAGAAGGCAAAACAACCGTTTTCAGCGGAGCGAAATTCCTTTAGTCAAAGGCTCGTATTTTGGCCAGCAGAATCAGTGCCCCGGTGAATTTGAGAAAGAACTTGCATGGTGCCAGCTCTAAGAAATTGGCCAGTGAACTTTTGAGTATCTCTATACACCTTAATCCAAAATGGCTGACTAGCCCTTGATGTCTCGTTTTGATGAAATTGTTCTTTTCTTTTAAAGTCACTCAAGCTCAAAGACAAAAGAATAATTTTATGAAAACGAGACATCAAGGGCTAGTCAGCCATTTTGGAATAAGGTGTATAACACGTTGTCGGGGACTTGTTCCGAACTCGCTTTTTCTCCGTTTCCTACTTCCTGGACTGATTCTTGCCTTCATCTTCTTGGCATAGTTATAAACTCGCTATAAACTGGAATTTGAATTTGGAACAAAACGTACTTTCAGAGCTCAGAGGATACTCAGCTGTAAGTTTGATCTTTGCCGAGAATGATTGTAAAAGGAACATATTTTGCGTGAGTAGTGGTCATGAACCATTCCTGATACCTTAAGATCATAGAATACTAAGCTAATCGCTTAAATATAATTACTATTATCATATTGCATGGGAATGGACTCTATGAGTGCTCCATGGGTTAGATAATTTTATAACATGTAATCAAAGCATCGTAGACTTTCTTCGTTTCTCTTGATTAATGATATTCCTTATTGATCCGGCAGAAGTACATAACCAGAAGTGTCCATCTCACTTATAATATCGACACCATCAGATGTACCAATAATCGATTTTTAGACAACCAATCACAACGCGCGCACATATTACACGGCTCCTGATTATTCCTTGTTGATCAAGAGTGACAAGAAAAAGGAAAGTGTTGTCGATGGAGGCGAACAAAGTGAAGTTTGCATTACGAGAATTTTACACCTTTTGCTGAACAACCATTTCTGAAATTGTTATAAAATATACTTTACTATATGAAAAATGTAGCGGAAGTATTTCAAGACCAATATGGTCTGCCAAAACAGGGTAAAAGTTCAGACAATGAAGAAAGATGCAAACAAAGCATGCCAAGAAAGGTTTTATTATGCAATTCATTCATAAATAAATTTGAACTTAGTCTAAAATACAATAAAGTCGAAGGTTAAGTAGTTTTCGACTGTTAACCTTAGAGATTCGACCCTATAAATTTTCATGTAGCTTGGAGGGTTTGTCAGTATCAGATATTTCATTTTCTTTGACGACTTTTCTTGTTTGTGGCTTTTCATAATTTCAATCATCTTGTCACCGAAAATTCGACATGATTTCGTACATTTTGTACCTATTTCGCGGCTTGTTTGTTTATTCTTTGCTTTTCTTTCAAAGATTGAACAATTATTCCAAACTCAATGTTTTACACTGCAAAAGGTGTAAAATTCTCATAATGCAGCTCGGGTTAATTGTTTTATGAAAACTACTTACTTCACAATTGGCGAAGATTGGTTTAACAGCAATTCTTGGTAAGGAACATCAAATTCTGGAACATCTAAAAGAAGAATTGTGAATAATATTTTATAGTCGAGTTAGAGTTAGTACATATTTAATCTGCATTTAATTTTGTAACGTATAAGCAAACCACAAAGAGTTTTTGAAGGAAAATTACATTTTAATTAATCAAATATTTATCAAATTATTTTTTTAAGATCTTCTTGATTTGCGTTACCATTTCTATAGGTGGATAAGCTCAGTTGCTTCAGAAAGACTTCCTTTACAAAATCGTTTTCGTGTGAGCTGTTTATGGAGAGAAGATCAGCACCTAACGACTGACAATAACTACGAGCATCGGTCCAGTTTTTCTTCTCTGTAAATAGCTGGATAGCAGCGTCTCCATAGCGACTCCTTCCATCGCCCATTAATTCTACAATCATTAAGATGTGTTCATGTATTTAATATATCCGACTAAAAGTTTGGATCTGGGATCACTTCATTAATTTGAATCTATTAAAAGTATTCAGAACTGGTATGAATGAAAATGATATCAAGATGAGATTTGTGAAATACTGCAAGAAGATGCTTTTTGAAAGACTTTGTTTTGACACTTTTTGTACTGTTTTTTACGCAATGATCGCCAATCCAATACTTAGACATTTTTGGACAATTCACAAAAAAAGAGATTGAGCATTTTATGTGGCCTTTTATGCCTATTCTAACGATTATTTCTATCAAATATATGTAATATATTCTTTAGCAAAATGGAAAATGTAAGCTTGTTTTATCATGCATGACCTTAACTTTGTCAAGTTTTAATATATGAAAATTATGTGTAAATTTTGTAAGGTAAACATAAACTAAGGTGAGTACACGAATATCTTTTTTTTTACTACTTCCAGAAATGATAAAATTTTAACTTTAAATTTCACTTGCTTGTTTTATCTATTAAATGTTGATTCCCAATGAAAATACGATGCACGCATATACGGGCTTTTTGCACAGTCAGGACCAGTTGTCATGGTGACATTCCAAGATAAGAAAATATCAGACCAGAAATTAGCTAATCAGAGTGCACATATAGTACTTTAGACACATAATAAAATACTGTTATCAAAGGTTTGAAAGATTTAGGCTAAGAGTAACTATATCAGGCTAAGTGCAGTGTGGCATTTACAGCATTTCCATCCTTACTTACCACAATTCTTCCCTGATAATCCTGTCTTACATTTGCATTTGTAGTCTTGTCTGTCGTAATGAATGCTACATTCTCCTCCATTTTTGCATGGCTTGTTCTCGCAAGGATTCTAAAGTAAAGCAAAACAAAATGATTATCTTTGATATATATTTTCTTTGGGTGTCATTCATGTTACCATTTTTGTTTCTCTTGTTTACAGGACTTCTTAAGAAAATGGGTTTTTCAGGCTTATCATTTGTAAGTTTTTTTTAATGAAGACAATAAAGCGATTTGTAAAGTTTCAATCGCACAAGAAAAACGTTAACTAAAACAAAACAAAATCATTGTCTTTGAGAGATATTTCCTCTAGATTACATATTACCGTTTTTGTTTTTCATGCCAATGGCAACACAACTCGAAGATTGATTRTGMAGACGAATACAGAAAKATAWAATGATGAATCAAATTATAATTACTTAACGAATAGAATTTTAAATAAACGATTTATGAATATAGTTTTATAATTTAACTTCGGTTCTGGATAAACACAAGCGAGCGCCGGTGAGATGAATACCACTCGAGCGACAACTATGAGTAAATGCTGCCACGACCAGAAGCGCTACATCTGGATCCGAAAAACAAATAAAATCACGGCAAGTGTCAAAAAACAATAACAATTAAATCCCTAAGAAAACTTGGAGTTCAATTATTAAGCAAACAATATAAATTTCAATGTTTCCCTTTTTCTGGTGGGCGAAAAAAAATTGAGTTTGCTTAATAAAAATTATTCGCAAGGAAAACCAGAATACCAGAGCAAAGGTGAAGCAAATCGACGAATCAACCTCGTCCCCAGGGCTATCCCGGCCGACTCCTTTTCAAAATGGCGGTCTAGTAGCGCTACATCTGGCAGCGAAAGACGCAAAAAAATCACCGCAAGTGTCAAAAACCAATAATAACAATAGGTGTTTACTTAAATTGGATCATCAAAGAATTTGTGGTTTAACCGTATCAACGATTACAATTGATACGTTCAATAGACAAAAGATGTTTCATTGAAAGTTTAGTGTGGTTTTAGTGTGTCAAAAAACAATTTTGTTTAAAAAGCAATATCACATATCACATGGTACTGAGTACCATGAAACAGTCAAATAGTATCCGCTTTAACAATTAAGGCTAAAGGGACAATTTCTTTTAAAAAATATCTTAATCTGTCGGAGAGAGAAATTTGTGTTTTTGGTACATTTATGTTCAAACCTAGATAACAAAGAAACTGTCCAAGTAAGTCCGCAATGAAATTTTGGATTTGTATCTAGAAGCAACAGATGTGCCATTACAGATGCCTGTAACACATGCCTGCCGTATTATTCAAAAAACACTTTCAAATTGAATTCAGATAGTCTTTGAATGTTGATGTATAAGGAGTGCAAGAATATTAACTTGCTTTTAGAGGATGTCAAGCAACTGTTATCCCTCCTTTGACGCACAGAACACACAAGATTTGGTTGAGGAAAACTAGTTTCGTCTTTACTAGAGCTTTTCAATTCCTCGATCTACAACTGTTGTGAATTGAAAAGGTTTAGTAAAGTCGAAACTAGTTTTCCTCAACCAAGTCTTTTGTGTTCTGTGCGTAAATGGAGGGATATAAGTATTTTAACATCCTCTAAAATGAAATATCGAGATGAACTTGGGTTCTCGATAAGCACGGGCCAGCACCTTCGTACAATCATTTTCAAAACGACGAATTTGGAGGATCGTCTTCTTTGCTTGCTTCAACCTTTGTGACTGAACGGTAAGACGAATCAAATTATGATTTACTTTACAAATATAATTTTAATGTGAATGATTTATGAATACAGNACCATTCTCTCTGTCGAATCCAGTCGTTCTGCTTACTATCGGTGTCGCCATCTTGGTTGGTGTGCAAAATGTTGAGACTTGGATTCAGTGTGACGTCGAAATAATTGCCACATTTATGTGACGCTCGTCCACACGGGAAATTATCGATATGTGACAATTACATAAAAACTAGCATGCCAGCTTTCCAGTAACTACAGTTGTCACATAAAATTTGTCCAATTTTGCTCATCTACCGCGGGCAATTAAAAATTGTCACATAAAAATTGCTCGTCTAGACGGGGCTTAATTCACAGGTCTGAAGTTCAAGACTCAGAGGAGCTGACATTTCATTAGATTTCTTTCTTTACCAAAAAATAAATAAATTCAATCAAATATAGAACAGGGAACCCGGTAACGGTAACTTAATGAAAAAATTAATAAAGAACAATGAGAATAAACAAATAGTTTTGAACACAAGTAACGCAGGCTCAAGTTTACAGGAAAGTGAGTGAGTGAGTGAGTGAGTGAGTGACAGATTCGTCCCCCTCCAATAACTCTTCGATTGCTTCGCAATCTTCGAGTTAAAAAATGAGGTTGTCCAGGTGATAGTTTGTAAGTTCTTTGAAGAAGACAACAAAGCGATTTGAAAAGTTTCTACCGCATGAGAAAACTAATAAATCAAAAGAAATCCCAATGGAGTTAGCGACTAGTAAGGGTAAATATCTTTATCACAGTTTTTTTAAATAGTATGCACTTTTAAGTTTTGATGTAGTTTTTAGGTTGTGTTCCTTATTCTAAAACTCACTTTAGCACTGTAGTGGTCAACTATTGCATTCTGTTTTAGATGTTCTTTGCTRGTAAACTGATCGGATGAAATAAGCTCACAAACATGTCGATCACTGTTTTTCAAGGGCATAGTTCTGAAGTTCACCGAACGGCACCAGTGTGTTGCAATGCACTCAAATACACAATCCACCTTGTCGTCTACTTGGACCGATTGTTGTTTCGCACYATTCATACCTTGTGATAAAATTAGCTCTTGCTTTGGAAAAAAATCAAAAACAAGACTTAAAGCTCTATTGGATGTGGCAAGGGTTGTAGCTTTGCGCCATGAMGCTGTTATGCTCAATAAAACTAGCTCAAGRARAACATAGTGGAGATGATCCAGCCACATAGCTGCGCTAAATGAAATCGATCCTTACATATTAAACATATCAAAGTATTTTTGGCATATCATGTCGATAATAATATCCTCAGGCSCAAGATCACCTGTTTGCCTCTCTACTCKTACGGATCCAATTGCTGAATCGTTTATTATTACTGTCTGGCTCATTTATTAATAGTTCAAGCTCGTGCCAAAATGTTATGGGAATATATATGCGTAAAATACCTAAATGGAAAAAAAATAGAAAAAACTTCATTTTAGAGGATGTCATATAACTGTTATCCCTCCTTCGACGTACAGAAAGCACAAGATTTGCTTGAGGAAAACTATTTTCGTCTTTACTAGACCTTTTCAATTCCTCTACAACTGTTATATAGGATAAACGCGCTTACATATGAAATTACAAGGAAGGAGGGATAACAGTTATTTGACATCCTCAAAAATAAAGTTTAGAAACTCCTTTAAGATCCAAATCCAACAAATATCAAGAAATAGGAAAAAGGCTTGGAAAAAATAATTCAGACTTTCAATATCATGAAAAAAATGGACAATTCAGGTTTAGAACTTTTCTACAAATAAAGCTGACTCTACCAGGTATTCAGTTAAAGATTACTCATAAATAATTTACATTTGCTACATATGTAAATTTTTATTCTCGTATTGATTTTGAGCAGCTGCAAAGATTAGACATAAAGACAAGTGATTTCCATATGTCAATCCTTATTTTTACTTTTTGGAAAAATCATTTAACATGAAGTTGCAAAAAATCATTGGGAGAAAAGATGAGGTGACAGTTTTGGCCGCCATCTTGTCCGCTATGCATATCGTTTGCAATTAATAATTCTTTACGAATTTGAATTCAGCGAGAATTATTTGACATCGATTTCACGGTCATTCCTTGTTATTTTGCGACACTATGCCTATCGGTCAAAGATGGCGGCCAAACTGTACTCCTTTATGGTCAAGGGAATTTCTTAAACTCATTAATATTTAATTAGGTCAGTAACAAATTTTGTACTCCCAATCAAACACGTGGCATAGCATTTAACTCATGATAAAGGTTTATCAAATAAAAGTCGCGGGTGGCTTTCAATTTTACAGGGAAGTGTGGGGCTGATTAAGAATTTAGTTAGTACACAATGGAAAAAATCGCACGCTTTAAAGTTTGTAAATTTGATGTAAATATGATGTAAGTGTCCAAAATTCTGTAAATTTGATGTAAATGATTTTCCTTAAATTTACAGAATTTTGGACACTTACATCATATTTACATTAAATTTACAACCTTTAAAGCGCGCGATTTTTTCCAGTGATGGAAAAAAAACTGCCGTAGCAGTTATCAAACTGTTTAATAAATTCATAACGTGGTTTATTTATTTTAAATATCATTTTATGACATGAAGAGAACAAGACTAATTTTCTCAACAGATCGAAAAAAGTAGAGGAATATTGATATAATCTTCAAATCTCAATATCTTCCAGTCAATTTATATAGCTTCTACTTACAAAAAAACTGATTCCCATTGACATTTATCCTTGAAAGGCTTTTCTGACCGAATTTTGTCGATCGAAAACTTCGCAAAAACAGGTGGCCAGAATTCAGCAACTCGTGTTGTGTGACAAGATGGCGTAGCCCAGTTGTCAGAAGAAAGTCTCTCAGCCAATCAGGAATCACGCTTACGATACGGCTAAAGTACGGTATGACGCGAGCACCGTATTTACCCAATGACCGATCGAAGTGTCGTATTCAGCCAGTGATCAACAATCGAACGTACGGTTCGGCAAAATACCGTACATACAATTCAATCCCAGATGTGAGCAAAAAAATGCCAAAAAATCAGAATCCATGAATACGATACAGTTACGGTACGGTTACGGTACGGACGCAATTCGTCATCACCGTTTCCCAATCATACGAAGTCGCCTCTATTTAGGTTAAGTTTCAGTACCTTGTCTGTCTTCGCGATTGATTAGCACGTAAATACGAGAAGGTATTTGACAAGACAAAACGGTTAGTTTTGCTTCCATTTGTATTATCATATCATAATAGGTTGCGCTTTAAGAATTATCAGTACTACAGGAACGATGTTTCTAAAAATTGCAAGCTTCCGAAATCGCAAATGAAGACCACCAAATGTACTCCATGATAACAGCTAGTAAAAAAGTTGAAAACATTCCACATCAAGCATGAAATCTGGTCAAAATTGACCCCTGAGAAATAGGAATGCATGCCTAAATTTCTACTTTTTGGTGCACCGGATAAGGATGGGATCCACGTCTCTTCGTTTTATGTTTTAGAGTCAAAATCATCTTTTGCAAATCGAAATTCCAGTTTGTTTGTTTGTTTGTTTGTTGTTGTTTTTTAATTGGCCCCCACAAGTCTGAAGCATTTTTGTATTTTTTTTTTTTTTTTTAAGTCTCCACAGATCTAGCCACAGCCCCCTTTTTGAGACCCAGCACAGCAAAAGATTTCTCACTTGCGCGACCGAATTGTGGTGAATGTGGTTCAAACTCGACAGGGAGCACCCAACGTTTTTGTTTTCAGGGATTGTTTTAAGTGCCAA